CCTGCGAGTCGGAGGCGGCCACGGAGACTGAGCGACCGCGGGGACCGCCACGGGCTGGGCGCGCGTTCTCGGGCTCAACACTGCCACTGTCTGACACAACAGGAGCAGTGTTGGGAGAGCTGCGCGATGAGACGTGAGATGTGATAGGCTCTCCAAACTGGGTGCAATTTTTTTTTTTTTATCCTGGTAATTACATTTCACTTTCAGGAGGTTATTTTTTTGTTACGTGATTTATCTGCATTCATATGCTCATGCTCATTTGCGTGTTATCCACAACAACTGGACACTTGATGAGGGGGATGGACAGTCGAACCGACATACAGGGTCTGGAAATGAACCCGGCAGAAAGTCTTCAGTGCTAACCAAACGTGATATTTTAATCTCTCTGGGTGTTTGTATTTGGGCTGCGGAAAGAGGCCTTCTCAGGGGAGCTGAGGAGTGGAAGGCCGCAGAGACGTCTACCTTACAAGACAGCGCGAGACAGATATGGGTTCAGGACGTCCTGTGAATGGTCTGCCTAAAGGGCTAGAGATGGAATTCGGATTTCCAGAGGACTCCGGACAGTCACATTGTATAGGACACTTTGAGGGTGTTTGGACTGAGTCGGGAGGCTTCCCCTCAATGCACAGGTGGGTTGGCTGCTGGTCAGGATTCCGTCGCAGAACCTCTTCGCTCTTGCTGCTCTTCACAGGGGCAGGACAATGCAATTGTCCAGAGATTGGGTAGGCGAATTCCCCAGACATTCGTCCTGGTCAGGGTTCACTCTGACTCTGAACATATAGATTGCGCCTCTCCTTCTTCCCCTAGGGGTCTCACTGTCTTTTTCTTTTTCCTTCCAGAGGATTGTTCTGATTGGCCACCAACTTTTCTTCTGTTACTCTTTACAGCATGATCTCTTTTGTAGTAACATTTCAGTAGGTCATCAGCTGGGCTTTATATTGGAGCATTGTTTTAATAGGAAAATAGTGCTTAATTAGAAAAAAAAAAGCCATCAGAGCACATGAGCTGGTGATGGAGGTAGAAATCAAGGCACAAAATACAATACAAACTGAACATTGGTAATAAGACAACTTTTGCCCATTTGCTTGTGCACTCAGATTTCTGAAACGTAAACTAAGGCCCGTAGAGGACTCTAATAGCATGTGGGCCATTTCCTACATCTCCAGTGGAGAAAGCAAGTCTCAGAAATCACAAGATTTCACCGACAAGCATGTGACTGGCTGCCGTTCATCTGAACCAAAGCAAAAGTTTGCCGTCCAAGTTCTTTCCCTAATATATATGAGTCCTCCTTCCTATGGTGTTGTAAAGGAGATAAAGAAGCACACGCCTTATTTAAAAATCACTATAATAGGTGAAAAGCAAGTGTAAAGGATGATACTGCAATGAAAGTTCACCCAGGAGATTACCTAGTGGAATCTCATCATCTTAAAGATAAGAAAGAAATGTCCCGAGTCACTAAATTGAAAGTCATAAGTACATGTTATGTCCTGTGACTTCTCATCCATTGTTCCTTCCTTGCACATAGCCTATCTTTCATTATGATACTTCAAAAAAAAGGAAGGAAAAGAAGATAGACAGATAAATAGATAGATGATAGATACATACATATATACATACATACAAAAGTGGGCCCTATCTTCAAATTCTAGCTTTAAAGTCATAATTTTTTAATCTTTTTTTTTCTCATAGGTCACTGTTTGATTGCCTGAGAACTAAGCCTTGAAACGTAGAAAGGCTAAAGCAGGTGAAGAAGTAGGCTTGCAAATAGCACTAGGCACCTTTAAAGTACCCATTTACTGGGCCCTGGGACCCTGAGGAAATAAGAAGGGTGATCTGAGCACCTGGGAGGATGTGTACAATGTACACCACTTAGTCACACACAGTCCATTGTCAGGACATGCACTCATCAGCAAATTATTTTATAGCATGGGTGATGTATCAGTTACTGTGGTTGCAACTGGAGATACAAATATGATGAAGACACAGTGCCTATCTTAAAAAAAAAAATCACGACCTAGTGGAAAAGCTTTCCATTCAAATGTCTGTCTACAACTAATGCATGGCAGTATCTGAAAGGAGATGCTTGCAAAGTGGATCAAGCACAGATGCAGAAATGACGGGAAGGGTGTGTGGTAAAAAGGCATGTCTCCTTCAGAGCTGTGGCTCACTTATTCGGTGAATTTAACATGTATATTTCCTTTTTCCTTTTGCATACATCCATATTTTTTGTAACCTATTTTTCCAACCAAATATAAAATTTATGAGGACCGAGTTGTGCTTTGCATGGACATTGTCAATAAATGAGGATGAGAACAAGTACTCCTCTGACATCACCAAATAGCTGATTGCTGCCAACTGGAGTGTTTCTCTGTGCTCTGGGCATATATGCACCCACACTGTAAAATGTCTATAATGAGACTCTTTCTTGAACAGGCACTGAGAGATAATGTGAAGGTATCTATACAGAATGCGCATGTCCTACAAGACTTGGGGACTTCAGGCCTGTATACAAGTTCAAGGTATGGGTCAAAGTACAAGAGAAGGTCATGTCAATGTATATCTTTGAGTATAGATGGAAAGAAATAAGGCCAAGCCAAGCTTTTTTCCTTTATAAAAAAAATTGAGCTAAAGTAGTGAAATCAAATGCTCAGAACCAATCACCTTCCCTTCTTGGGTTTAAATATAATATTGATCCTCTCCTTTTGGGAAAATGAGGTAGTGTTCTCTAATGCAGTGCTTCTTGGCACTTATTGTAAAACAGAACTAACTGGGGGAATTACGGATGCTTAGGATCTATCTTGATTTAATCACTCTTGAGTAGACTTAGCATTGGTACTTTGGATAAATGTTCCAGATGCTTCTGATATGCAGTCAGCCTTGAGAGCTACTGATTCAACTGAAAGTGCAATACCTCCACAATGTGATTGAGATGCCAGCAAAATTTCTACCTTCTCAGATTAGTTAGCATTAATATAAAATATGATTGACTAAAGGAGAGGAAGGGCATAATGAAGTGTTGAGTGACTGTGTCATATTTAGAGTTTGGGAGCAATTCTGGAAATGTAGGAAT